TGTGCTGCGCAACATTTCCTACCATCCAAGCATAGTTCGATGTATCGGGCAGGGTGCAATTTCTTTTTCTGTACTGGGGGGGAACGGTATAATGTGCTGCTCCCAAATCCTAGGAGTGTATTTGATGGTTAGGAAACCGGCTCCTACCCAGCCACCGAAGGATGAAACTGCTGAGTCAGAGAAGATTAGAGAGATGATTCGGAACATCACTCGCGACAATGCGACGTACGATGCATCCAAGCTGGAGAAGATGAGTAGGTCGTTTTTGGAAGGGCGTAGAACGGATTGGCATTGCTGTTGTAGATACGAATGAGCTACTCACTGAGTATATCGATCTATTGAAGGCAGAGCAGGGGGATGAATCTAAGGAAGAAGGGAAGGAGGGGGAGAAGAGTGGCGACTCAGAAGCAGCAGGTTAGATATTCTTCTTATGCACGTAGTGTATTATGCGCTGTTGACAGACGAATCGGGAAAGGCTTCTGAAGAGGATGGTCCGAAGAAGGATGGAGAGGAGAAGCCCCATGATGAACTTTGATAACGCTCTGCTGGCGTCGTCGTCGGAGGTACCCTGGAAGGCTCAAGTTTTTACATTCTCAACGAGAATGATACACTTTTGAGATCGAGTGGTCGTTGAGTTGACAGTGGGACATAGTTGACATGTGGGCCGCGCTAGCTTGGTGGTAATGTCGGCGGGGGAGTGAAGGAACTCGCTGAGATGGGCGGTGGCGACAATGAAAGCATCGGTAGTAGTGATGCGCTGAGGCGAATATTCTCGGAACGGGACCTGAAGTGAATCCCTAGGGCTGGCTGATGGTCATTGTGTGTGGGAAGAAGCTGCGGAAGATGGGAGTGAAGTAGATGGATGACTTGCCGGTGAGTGAGGGTCAAAGGAAAGTTTTTATTCCAAGGCGAGGGTATATATGGAGGTTTAGATGCTGTGGTGTGGGTATGAAAACTGCAGTAGGAAGTGGCGAAACAAGCGGCTCGACCTGACCCTGGTGCCAGTGGCAAGCATGATATCTAGATATAGTGGGAGGAGGTACTACCTAGCATTAGTGAACAATGACTGATATTATTGTATTATACACTAATGTTGATTCATCCACTTTATTCACTTTCTCCACCATATATTCAAGTATAGTCCAATCTAACAGTCTGTAATTCGGTTTTTGATCTCCTCGGGAAAAGCACTGTGGAATTCCTAAATCTTCAGGCTGGTGGTGACTTAGTCTCTGGGGATATTTGTTGGTGTATTAGGGGGATGATTGGGTTTGGTGCATGAGGGTGGTATTAGGTAAGTACCTCGCGGCCTCGCACAAGCGCAAGTCGCATGGAGCGGCGTCGGGGGAGGAGGGCAGGGGGCAGATGTTTAGACAGATGGGGAAGTCTAGAGGCATGAGGGCCTCATGCTGAGGCCTTTGGTTTCCGGGATTGTTGAACCCACTATTGTTTTGTGTTCTTGTTCTTGTTGTTGAGTACTTGTATAGCTTTTTCTACTTCTTCTCTCTGACCATTCCAGAGTCCATAGTGCATCTAGCTGATCCTGCAGCCGAGACTAATTCCGCCACCAACAACGAGAACGAGTATATGGACCAGTCATTAGCTCGAGTGGAGTCGCAGGCGGCGTATGCCAATATGAACAATTCGAGTAAGGCGAGAACATACTTTGCCCGGGTCTTAAAGAAGGTAGTAACCGCCGTGACTGCGGGCATTGGTGACCGCTTGTATCGTCAGAGTCGGATAGAATGGGAGGTCTTCAAGGTAGCATGGCCATGGATAGTTATCGGCATCATATTCCAAATCCTGCATGACTGGGCTCATAACTGGGTCTATTATCTTAGCGGGAAGTAGCATGGTTGTTGTAATACAGTTTTGCCATGGGTGGACTTCAGATATGGTGTGTATGGTGGTCCTGAGAACGCCCTTGTTGACTTTGGTCATATGGCCTTTCCCGATATTGACACATTGACGGTATCTCCCGCGCCGGAGAACCCAGTAGGAGGCCTTGTCCATGATGGTGACTTTGATGCCGCTCGCACAGGTTCTCTACACGTGTATGTTCCTTGCAGTGGCGTTCGTGGTGATAGCCCCTATATTTGGGGATCGGGATGACTTCACGCTAATAGGGGCAATCTGGAGGGTGCTCAACGTCTGTGACTTCACTATATTATTCCGCTGCATATCCTTTTTGGTCACGATTTTGCCGGCGCCGGCGCCTCATTGTCAAGAGTAGGGACAGTTGTCGTGTTAACGATCTTGAGGATTCTACTTCAGGGCCCCTCCGCCCAATGCTCCGTTGGAACCATTCTTCAGTCCACCCACATCGGCCGGCCAGGTGTTATCTGGCTTTGATGTTCAGAATGGGTGTGGGGATCTCGTCTTTAGCAGCCATATGATGTAGTCAACCCTCCTTCCGCTACCATCATTCACCGTGCTAAGCTCCCAATAGGTACTGCTTGCTGGCGACATTGGTCGTTACTCACTACTCTCGAAGCCTCGTGCTCATGGTAGGTGGGATAGTATAGAAGATTTATAAATGTGGTTTTCTTGTCTTAGGTGATCGAATGGTTGCTATGTTGTGCACTTGTATGTTTGATATTGGCGCAAAGATCGCATTATACGTTGGACGTGTGGGTTAGTTGGTACACGGTGCCTATGGTTTGGATATGCTTTTACCATTTCTTCCCTAACGATCCAGTCAAGCACATTGCATTTTGGAAGGACCAGCCGCAGCATGTCTACCTACCCAGGTCGGAAGCTTATAGGTCTCCTCCTAAGACGTCGCTGCTTTAAATTTGAGCCCATCAATGCATTTTTCGATGAATTAACGCTTCTATGTTTAGGCAAGCGGAGGTGCCGAAGGAAGAACGTGCGTCCACAAGTTTCGGAACCCCTACAGCGATCATCTGGCCTGGAATCGGCCCTAACATGACGAGGGAATGACAAATGATGGAGTGTAAATAATAACACTGTATACTGTTGCTTAGCTCTTTCCCTCATTGACGCGGCAATTGGCTACATTTGAGTCCTTGTCTGCTGTGCAAGGCAGTCGTCTCACCTC